GAAAGCCTACCGGCCCTGCTCCAGCCCCCTGCCTGGGATCCGCGTTTCTAGACTGTGGCCAAGACCAGAGACTTGGGGGGGGGGGAGAGTGAAAGATGTCCAGGATTTGCTTTTTCTCACCATCTTTGCGTCCGTCAGAGAGGTCACTGGGAAGATTAGGAGTTAGGGTACAGAAGCCCCCCTTGGCAGGCTTTCACCCTGATCTTTTAGCAGAGCATAAGCAACACCCTCTCCTTCCTGCTTGACTGTGAGTCGGGCCGGCTTCCTGGACAGCCAAGCCTTTGCTCGTGTACCCTCAGGAAGGGCGCCCTCCTCCGCCCCCTCGTCGCCGCTGGACGACAGCGGGGTCAGGGCCGCGGAGGCCGGGGAGGCCGCGCCCAGCAGCACCAGCATGTCCTCTTCCTCCTTCAGCTCCAAGGTCTCGGATTTGACGAACATCCTACGGATGGAGCGAGCGGGAAGAAAGGGGCGAGCGGGCGTAAATAGAGAAACAGAGGCACGTTCCCGCGTCACCGCCAGGAGTGGCGCGGAAGGCGCGGAGGGGAGACGTAGTTGGGACAGAAACCCGGCCAAGGGCGGGAGCGCCCCTCGCTGCTACCGAGCGCGGGTCAGGTGGGTCCGCACTCTGCGGGCTCCCCTCCCCGGGGACGGCCGTGACCTCGGCGACAGGCGCGGCGCGGAGCAGAGTCGCGCGGGCGGGGTCGGACCGGGGCGGGAGACGGCCCGCGAAAGGGGACGCCGTGGCGCGGGTACTTACTTGGTTGGCTCTAAATGTGCTTCGAGGGGAGCCCGGAGTCTCCGCGCCGCCGGGAGCGCGACTCTGTGTCCCTGCCCGAGCCGGCGCTGGGGTGGCGCGGCTCCGCGGGGGACCTGGCGACGCGCGCCTTTGCCAAGCCCCGGCGGCGGCCGCCCGCCCGGGTCTCGTGTGTGGTGGCGGCGTGCGTGTCTGTCTGTCAGTCAGTCCCGGCCGTGCGGCTCCGGCACGCGACTCCCAGGCACTCCAGTTAAAGCGAAGCTGCTTGTGGTTCAGTGGCTGCGTGTCTGGCACACGACCCTCCTTAAAACCCCTTATATACCACCAAGAAAACAATCGCATCTGCCCCCGGGCCCCACCTCACCCCTCCCGCCACCGCCGCCCCCTCCCCCCGCCTGGCCCCCTGCTCCCCCTTTTCTGTCCCCCGGCTTACTCTTTTCATTGCATTATCATCATTCATTTCTTTCTCTTTCTTCACCCCCGCCCCCTCCCCCGGCCCTGCCATCCATCCTCCCCCGCACCCTCCCTTCCCCCTTTTTATCTAATCAGCATAAAATGGTTCTAAAGCGCCTGTTGGGCTCGAGCTGCGGCCGGAGCTGCGGAGGCCGCGGCGGCCTCGGCGGCCCAAGCTGCGGCTGTTGTCGCCGCCGCTGTCCATTGTGATTGGTGGCTCGCGCTCGGCTGGAGCGTGCCGCTAATTTATTAATGAATGGAGGTCGCGAGGCGCAGCTGGCCAATCAGGGCGCCGCGGACTCCGGGAGGCCCGCGAGCCACGCGCACCGGAGCCCGCTCCCTTTCAGCCGCTCATTAGGGGCCCGGGCGCGGGCCGGTGCGCGGTGCTGTCCATCGCGTGAACTGTCCTGCAGGGTCAAACTGTTCATCTTCAGCCCCTCTTCCAGCGCGCGATCCTACTTTAAGAGAACAAAAGCTCAAAGCAGGCAGTGTTCAAGAAATGGGAACAGTGATTTAAACTCACCCCAGCCTTGAAAGAAAAGGGGCCGGGTGCGAGCGTGTAGCCGAGAAGAGTGAGCTCGGGAGGGGAGGGGGTGGAGATCTTTAGAAAGTCTTTGTTGCTTCTAAGAAGCTTGAACTTTGAGACCAAAAGCCCTAAAGTTTACGGAGGCGTCGCTGGGAGCCACAGGCCATCATCCATACTTCGACCTCACAAGTGGCAGAGGACAACGGTCCGAGCCAGACTCTTGCTGTGCAGGTGACGGTC